AAGCGTTTTGTTTATACAATTTACAAATATCAAATTCTTATTGTATGTACTTTCTATTAGAGAAAATACTTCGTTGTTAACCATTTATTGTAATTATAATCTTCCTCTTTAAAGACCAATATTATCGATGGGGAACAATTTTTAATATTTTAATACAGTTTTAAAATATATTTCAAAGCTTACAGATGAAGAAATTCTATGTTGTTGTTTACATGTAAGAATATGCAATTCACTGTACAAGTCTCCTCTTTTTCTACGAGGAATTCTCCTAATACGTAATTTTGAATCATTATCCTGAATAAATCATCATTCAAAAGTATCATTTAAAATTCAAGCTATATTTCTAATTTTATAATGATTACGAATATTGTATTCAGGAAAAAATTTATTTAATAGGCAATTTTGCTAGGATGATTTGCAACAAAACGAACAGTACGTTACGCTGAGAACGCGTTTTTAAATGTGAAAATGAAATTTTCGGAAGTGTATATGAAAAGTTCTTTGAAAATTAGTATTACTAGTACAGTAATTATATCTCAGTATCGTAAAAGAAATACTGAGAGAAATATTTGTGCCTTTGACAAAATTTAGTTTTCTAATCCTTCTGTAATTTGTGATGCAAGATAGAAAAGCGAACAGATTAAATATAAAAAGAAAACAGATAATGTATATATCTTTATAGAGTTAACGATCGACAGTCTGATTAAAATTAATAACCAGCGAGGAACTTATGCGAAATGTTTAACAAACATTTCGATAGGCTTTGAATTATTTAAAATAATACAAAAAATCATACGTATTATCCTTCTCTTTAGAAGACCAATGACTCCGACTTTTGCAATTGAAAACTCCTGTACCATTTGCTTTTAACGAACAGATAACTTCAATCATCAATAAATCAAAATATTGAGCGATTGAAAAATTTAACTATCCTATATTTTGTGACAACTTTTATCATCCACACAACATATGTTCTGCATTTATGCAAAACGATTATCTTTCTTATTGCTTATTAAATGATCAGTTAATAACTTAAGCTATATAGTAACGAAATTTAGCCAGAATTATAACTCGTAATTAAGAAAGCAACTTAATACCAGGTATCAAATAACTTTTACTTTTAATTGGTGCTGTATTAATAATTTTTCAATTCCATATATTTGTATCACATTTTTCAAGTTTTTGGAACATTCTTCAAGCTTACGTTAATCCTAAAAGGGGACTATGTTTAACAGTATAAATGAAAGTCTTAATCAGAATATTATGCAGTACTAATTAAAAGTTGAAGGAATACAGAATAAATGATACTGTAAATATAAAAATACAGAGTAATATTTTTTTTTGCGTCGAATGTATGAAGGATAGCTGAAGAAGGAAAATCTAATGAACCGAATAAGGTATAAAAGAGAATATACGGGATAAGGAGAAAAAGAGAGGGAAGCTGTGAGTAGGAAATTTCAATTTAAAACGAAGTGCACAAAATAAATTTATAATGATGTTGATATTTAACTTGTTATAAAGAAGACAAATGAGTGATCTACGTTTGATAAAAAACAAAAATTATCAACAGGCATTGCACCTACTACGTCATCGCTCAAAAGTTCGACATCGCCTGTAAAAATTAATATAAAATAAAAACTAACGTAAGCTCAATACATTTCGACTGATTTCCTCATTCATTGTATCGTACAGGCCTTCAAACTTTTGAGATGTAGTCTACGTTCATTATTTAACGATTATCGACTTTTATTCATTATTTTATTAATACTTTACAATAGAAGATTTTTATCAAAATTCGACAAGAGCAATACTCGCGGTCTTCCGTTTACAAGGACTAGGAAATCTTGATTGTATGTACAATATATATAATGACGAACCGAAAGTTATTTCGCCAATTGATGACAATACACGGAAGAAGCTGTGGAATTCTTTGATATATATCTTATGCATATTAATCAAAGAGTTGAAATACAATAGATTGTAATAGTAATTAACAAACAGCCGCGCGCGGTTAAACGAACGAAACTGTATCCTAGAGATAATGATATAGATCTCGCGTATATAACTATATGTAATCTTATCGATACTTTGTCAAGCGCGGCGGGAAATCTTTATACAAATTGTAAAAAAAAAGTAATAGTAACACGAATTTTATATCAACGATGAACTGACTTGCACTCTACAATAATCCCGTTTTTGAGAATATTACTCCGTATTTCATTTGCAATTGTTTAAACGGCAGGGAGACGTGTGATTTTGGTTTTAACGCAAATAAACGGTTATCTTATTGTAAAGAAAGAAGTACTTGATCAATCAAGTCAGTTGATCGGAAAGAAAAAGACAGGTGTCGTGAAAGTGTAATCGTAAAAGGATGTTTCATATTCCCAATATAGAGAGATGGCTATTTAAACGTAATTAGAGGGTAGTTTTATACATAAAACTGGATCATTATAAAATAAACCAATTTTTATAATGCACTGCGTTTTGTTATCCTTCACTGGTAAATAAATACGTTTACTTACTTGAAATCTCATATTACTACGTATCTTAGATCTGATTAGTAAACAATGTAATATTCTGAAAGTCAAATATAATATCAAGACGGTTAGATTTAATTAAGTCGATGAATTTTGATCTGAAGGAAGTACATAAATAATATAAATTAAATTTGTTAAACGAAGTGAATATAATGAGCAATTCGAGGAGTAGTTCTTTTGATTCAATATATAGTAAGTAATCTTTTTAAATAATGACTCACTCACATTATTTGCCAACATATTTTGCTCAAACCATATATAAATGTTACTTAATTGCATTTCCAAGAAAAATACCATATAAATAAATTAATGAAATTACTATAATGAAGTTATCTCGTTCTGTACAGGCGAAGAATTGAGCTCAGGGGTAAATTTAAATGATGCAATACTAATGTCAATCAGTGAAGATATGTCACCCGACTCGAATGATGGACATTTTTTCAATATGTGTGATTCAATTTCCATAATGAGAAATGTTGACAGAGATCTTGGTATATCGAAGAATACGAATCAGGCTGAAAATTGTTCAAGTTTGTTTGAACTTAGTGATAATACAACTTTCATGTCTTTACCTCCCATAAATCAATTACATCACGAAAATAACAAAACTGCTTCTAATCTGATGCAAAATTCCATTAATGTACGTAATTCAAGAGAAGAAAATCGTGAAACCAATAAACGTGGACCATTAAGTGAACAACTAAAACGTATATTTAAAGAAATTTTAGAGAAACATGCCATTCCCAAATCGAGTACAAGCAATTCTAATGAAAGTGAGAATTCTTTACTATATAAAATCAATTTGCAAATTGAAAAGTTGAACCAAATTGACATAAATAATAATAATCCAGTACATGAAATGGCCGAAGCTAATGATCGATTAGTTATGGAACCGATGAGAAGCTTACAGAATACCTCATACCAGGAATCAGTATTCTTTTTAAACAAATATTTTCCAAGAGAATTAGTTACTATATTAGAAAACTCCTATGAAAGTAGTACTAATTCACAGTTAGAAAATTCCTCTGAGTGGACTGGAAGGTGTATAGGCAGATTAAGAATGGATACTCTTGAATTTTAAAAAAACTAAAAGAGAATTATTATGCAAGAGATATGTTAAATAGTGAAAATATTGCCCCGTCAAATTTTTAAGATGAAATCACGAAAACTTTTTGAAAAGCAAATCAATTTTAGCACACTAATAAGAAGAAATGCGGAATTGTGAGAAGCTTGATTATTCAAAAGTATCACTAAAAATGATATCGTGTAAAA